ACACACACACACACACACACACACACACACACACACACACACACACACACAAAAGTAATAAGATAAACTTGGTGTTTCCAATCTGAGTGCAAAAACTCACTGCTAGAAATGACAGAAGCCAAGTCAGTGTTCCAAAGGTGTGGAGTCAAGTCCTCCTAACTGACTTCAGAAGCATGCCCTGCTCTCTTACCCCTGTTGCCCTAAAACATATAGTCTGGTATCTGCAAGGCTAACGACAAAACAGCAAGCAGATTTGTCTCTGACTTTCAAGGGCTCCCAAGTAAGCCAAATGACCACCGCAAGCCTCAGATGCATCTAGAACAAAGGGTTGTTAGTAAATACCGTGGTGTCAGTTCAGACTCACAGAGACCCCATGCGCACAGAATGAAACTGCCGGGTCCTGCACCAGCCTCACAGTTGTTACATTCGAGCCCATTGCTACTGCCACTATATCAATCCATCTCCTTGGGGGTCTTCTTCTTTTTCACTGACCCTCCACTTTACCAAGCATGACGTCCTTCTTCAAGGCCCCTCCGGATAACATGTCCAAAGAATGATAGGTTAAACCTTGCAGAAACTAAACAATACAGATAAATGGAGTGTTAACATCTCGATTCAAAAACTCAATTGCACGTTTTGAAATCATCAATGGCAAAATCCAAGTCAGCAACCCAAGGGGTATTAGCAATAAAAGAAGCAGGATTTACTGAGCTAATACTTCTTACATACATCATCCTCGTGAAAATGCTGTCAAGCGTCATTCTTGCTGCCACACTGAGAAGGCCACTGGCTGCTGGACCCCAGAGTCAGGATTCACACTCAGATCTGCCTATCCCAAAGTCTATGTTCTTTCCCAAAGGCCCAGGCTGAAAAACAGGCCTGACTCCGACTTTTCATCTCGCCTTTGCCCTGTGATCCTGGAGAGTCCTCAGGATTCCCACTGGTACAAGGGAAGGCATTGCTGTCATCTGCTTCCCTGGGATCCTGCTTTCTGCTGCAGTAGGATAAGTAATCGACCACAAGGTCGGTTTGAATCGCCAAGTCAGTGGTTCAAACTCACCAGCCATTCCTGGGAAACCCTATAAAGGGTTGCTATGAGTCGGAACCAACTTGGCAGCTCTTAACAACCTTTGGATGGACTGACACAGTGGCAGCAGCAATGGGCTCAAACATAATAATTGTAAAGATGACACAGGACGGGTAGGGTTTCACTGTTGTACATAGGGTCGTTATGAGTCGAAACTGACTCAACAGCACCTAACAACAACAACCTACAGCACTGTAAGCAGGAGTTCTCAAAATGTGGTCCCCACTATCCAGAGGAGCAGCAACACCAGAGATGGAGGCAGAGATGAGGACATGGGAGAGAGAGCAGCTGAGGACTCTAGACTCATAGATAGAGAAAGACTAAGTGCTGGTGCCTAAGAAGCAGGCTTGCAGAATGTGCCCTTTTGGTTGTTTAAAATATTATATATTCCTGAGTGTTTTTATGTACATCCCACCCCCCGAAAAAAAATGTTGTCCCCAGACAAGTAGCATCAGCATCATTTGGGAGCCCATTAGAAAGTGAGAACAGGGCTCTCTGGGTGGGGCCCATCAATCCACACTTAAGTCTGAAAACCATTGCCTTAGAATGAACCAACTACTTTCAGATACCTGGGCTCCATCTCCTACCATGCAAGGTAATATAAACCTGTATCAGTCAGCTTTTAATCAGAGATGCAGAACCATTAAAAAGTATAGATAGGTAGATGGTAGATTGTTGTTTTTGTTAAGTGATTTCGAGTAGGTTCTGACTCATTGCAACGCTGTATAGGATTTCCAAGGAGCGGCTGGTGAGTTTGAATAGCCAACCTTTCAGTTCAAACTGACCTTGCAGTCTAGTGCATTATCCTACAGTACCACCCCAGGATGAGTATAGGTAGATTAGATAGATAGATAAATAGATAGGTAGGTAGGTAGGCAGGCAGGCAGACAGACAGAGAGATAGAGGTATAGATACAAAGAAACCTGTTACAGGGGTTTGACCTTTAGCAACTGTGGGAGCTGGTTAAGGCTGCCATCTTGGCTTCAGATGCTGGAGCTTGGAATCCACAGTGAGGGCAACTGGGAAGGAAATGTGAATGTAAAGCAGGAAAGGTTAAGACAAGCTAGAGTCCATGAGGATGGACCCAGGCCAGTTCCTGTTGCTTCTGTACTTGGTGGCATGAGTGTCTGCAGCAGCCCGGCTTGGACACACCAAGCTCAGTAGTTGGGGTAGGTGAAGGAGGGTCCAAGAGCAGGTGAAGCGGTTGTGGCTTGGTCACAACCTCACACATAGGAAGCGTATCAGCAGAGTAACAGCTGCTGTTTCCCTCTACCCCCCAAACTTCCCACAAGAATCTCTCTATGGCCTACCCTAGTATGAAACACTAGGAAATAAAATCCCACCTAGCCATGTTGACACATTACAAAGCCACCACACTTTCATTGTTCACAGTTTACAAGTAAGGAAAAGGAGGTTTACAAGTGAGAGGAAAGGAATGGTTAGCCCTGGCCACAGGCACGTCTCTCTAGAGGGAATAGAGAGTAGGGGTTGTCTCAGAAGGGCCTTGTGCTCACAAGAGAACAGAGGGAGTCTCTCATTGGAAGGAGCAGTGGGGCTGGAGGAATCAGAACCTTCCAGAAGAAAGTTTGTGAGTGAAGTCTATGAATCTTAAGTAGCTTACCCTATCTGGTTAACTTACTGGGCTATGTCCTAGGAGGTGGACAGGGTGCAGAACTGGAAATTCCTCCCGCCCCCCATCTTCTGCTGTCTCTATAAGGTAGTGTTTGAGAAGTCCCGCCTGTGAGAACTGAACACATTCCTGGTGAGGTGAGGACCCCACCAGCCTTGCCCTAAGACCCTGCACTACAGAGCTAGAGGGCTCCCCATCTCCCTTCCATCCCCACCTCCCCTCCTCTGGCTTCACCCCTTTGGAGTGTCTGAGAATTCCTGTGATCACACAGAAGTTCATCTGAAAACACTCCTGTTTACACATGCATAAAACTCATTCTTAACAGGGCTGCATTTTTAAAGTTTTAAAAGAGGCCCAGTCCTGGAACAGATGAAATTCTGTGGACTTAGGCAGATTTCTTGATTACAAGGAAAGCCACAAATCCACAAACTCATTCCCAAGCCAACAGAAAAGGGGTGAGCAAATCCAGAAGGCTCCAGGGAGCCTGGGGCCAGCAGAGGTCAGGCACAGACCCGCCTCCTTCCCCCACCTCAGTCCCCCAGGCCCTCAGCATGTCTACCCTGGGCTCTGTACCCACACAAAGAATCCCAACACTTCTCAATCAAGAGAGATTTGGCTTCCATGTGAATGAGATCATGCTCCAGGAACAAGAGCTAAAGGTCTGACTGGAGCCCATTATAGCAGAAATAAGTGACTGGTTCCAAAAGTGAATCCATCTCATCAGCAAAGGCGAGACCTGATGTGACACTGTAGGATAAGCACTAGACTGCTAACTACGAAGTTGGCAGTTTAAACCCACCAATCACTCTCGGAAGCCTTATACAACAAGGGTGGGGAACCATTTTGTTGCCAAAATTTATAACATCATTCATAGGCCACACAAAATTATCAACTTAAAAATTAGCCTGCTATATTTTATCAAAGGTGTGGCACTGTGGGATAAAGGTCAGCTTGAACCACAATGTCAGCGGTTCAAACTCACCAGCTGCTCCTTGGAAACCCTATACAAGGTCTCTATGAGTCGGAAAAGACTGGATGGCACTTAACAACAACAGTAAGATGGCTGGAACTACAAGGTGCTTTGGCAGGGCCAGACGGCATTATACGGCCCACCCCTGCTTCACAGGGTTTCTATGAGTTAGAACCAACTCAGTGGCATCAGCAAAGGCAGCAACCAGGGCTCTGGGATGTTTTATGAGGGGTCTTCAAAAAGTTCATGGAAAAATTCCATTATCTTTTCATTTTTTCCCATAAACTTGTTGCAAAGTCCCTCACTTCCAAAGGGAGGCAAGAGGAGGAAGGCAGTTTGGCGGATGTGTTTTCAATACTAAATAAACCAGTTGCTGTCTGATTTCAACTCATGGCAACCCATTGTATCAGAGTAGTACTGGGCTCTGTAAGGTTCTCATGACTGTAATCTTTCAGAAGTAGATTGCCAGATCTTTCTTCCAAGGCACTTCTGAGTGGGTTCAAACCTTTCAACCACTTGGTTAGTAACCCAGCACTTAACCACATGCACCACCCAGGGACTGTTCTGAAAGATATGTAGTATCTAATTTCCCCATTAAAGCTTATTAGCTCTTCATGATACAAGGTAGTAGAGGAAGAAAGAAGGCAAACATATCAGAAAGGTGGAGGGGAAGCGCAGCAGTGAAGTAGGCCCCGAAAATAGGGACTGATTAGTCAATAAGCTAGGTATGCAGGAGCTTAATTGTGTTTACTAACCTGTAGTGAGCAATTTCAGCTGGGCTTCACCACGGTCACAGATCAGT